GTCGCCTAGCAATAAAGGCCCGTGCACAGCTTGCGGGCTGTGTGCAAAATCCGCTGCTGATTTTGCGGTGGTCAGCTGATGGGGCCGGATGTATCACTTGTGAGCGTGCAGACCCGCAAAGTGCAGGTAAGAGAAGCTTGAAATTGATATATCTAGTCCGCAACTGCTGGCAACTGCAGAACCATCTCTAGTCCGCAACTGCTGGCGACTGTGGAACCATCTCTAGTCCGCAACTGCTGGCGACTGTAGAATCTGCTGCGGAGCCTAGAGCCAGGCCGCAATGCGTGATCGGACCTTAACACGCACTCGCGTGGGGGTCAATTTGGTTTCCGAATTGTTTTCCAAAATCCATTTGAAACACTGCTACGTAGTCACGTCAAACTGTGCAAAGATGCAGCCAAGCCATTACAAAAATGTGTTTGTGTGAGAAAAATTAGATATACCTTGTCAGGTCACTGATTTATGGCAGATCAAAGTCAGGCCAATGCTGCTAGCAAAGGCAATGCCTTAGGAATCTTTCAATCTGATGCGGCATCGGAGTGGGAGACGAATCTTTTGAGACAGTTTCTTTGACAACTAGACAGGTGAATTTATATTAACAACCGGTTCCAATGACCCTGGGCCAAGTGTGAGGATCAGGTCGAAGTAAACTACAATGTCTGTTTTACGAGAACCTTACTTTGTGGTACGCTTTTTAACACTCATTTCAAATTCCTTGATCACATTAGGAACATGCCCCCTAGCGTAATCCTCGACACTTATTGCATTTTAAAAGTAAAAAAATCTCGTAGACTGTTGATCACCGTTACCTTCTGGAGGGCACACAAGGTCACTGACCTGAAATTACCACCAGTAACATTTTGCTTTTGCGACCATACATCTAGTTTAAATATAATTGTATAATGAAGTCTGAGGGAGCATTCGATGCCGATTTGGAGTTTGATGTTTGATCTTTCTTAACCCGAAGGTCATGACCTAGGGACCTTGAAATTTGACGCAACGAATTTAACATGGGGACTTAGTTATCTTGTTGCTTTGATGTATCTAGCTGTCTTAGTTTTTGAGATCTTAGAGGGGATGGGGTCAAATTGCCCTGCCTTTCACTCGAGCGGCGTCGTATTTAGCCGGCCTTGTGAGTGGGTGTTAAATGGTCGCTCGGTATATTGCGTCGAAGGCTGCTCCCAAAAGCTCAGCTGTGCTGTAAATCATGCAGTCTATAACCCTGGTAACTGGCAGCTCGTGGCCTTCGTAAAAAAGTTGAAGACTTGTTAAGCCTGCTAACTAATTTGAGAAGAGACAAATAGCTGTGGAAATGGCGAAGCCTGCACGACGTTATGACCTCCTGGGTATACGATGTCTAGCGAGCCGGGCGAAATCATGCATCGTCGTCACTCATTCGCAGGCAGAGATGCAGGTGTTGGCCACCGTCTTCAGCTACCATGCCTGCAGTTTGTTTACCTCTGAGCATACCCAGCACAGGAACCTCACAACGTGAATAAACCAAGCTATTATATCCAGCAGTCGTCAGGAACTGCATTCACGGCTTCCCGACCGCTTTGTTTTCGTGTCGGCGTTTCCGCGCTTCAGCTGCTGTTTGTTTGCTCCAGCTACGTGGCCGGCGAACGGAGGTGGCACGCGCTCATCGGTCAGACCGCCACCGGCTGGGAGACGCCCGTCAACTGTTACCTGTACTTCGAGGAGTTCAGGTGCGTAGTCCATCGCCATTCCGTCGACACCGCGTGGACTTTAGGCTCTAAGATACATGAACCTCTTGCCCAAGAGTTATAGGGTGGTCTCGCGAGGTTGCAGACGGCAGAGATCCAAGGCTGTATGAGTGGGGCAATAAGTTTGGGTCACAATCGTGCGAGTTTCTCGAATTTGAATACCTCTGCGTCTTTTGGTGCACGTGGTATTCACCCTTCTTTCGCGACTTGGGGACCAAGCGTGACCTGCGCCCTGACTAAAACATACAGCAGCTGTCCCATTGCGTTCACTTGAATCCCTTCAGCTACCGAGACCATCGGAATTACACAGTACGGTGTAACTGACCGTGCGGTAAGTGTGAGTGATGCATCTGCCACTCGTATAGCGTCTTTAATGGTTTTGCCTCAAGTGTTGGACACTGAAAGGACCAGCGCTCTTGATCTGTAATCTGTGGCTCATTGATTGCGCTCAGCGTGGTAAACCACAATTGATACCGAGGTGATGACTAGGAATGTGGAAATTCTGGGCATCGACACCGATTCGGTCATGCAGGTGTGGTTTGTATATAGTCCGGAGTAGGCGTGCTTTCACCGAATGTCGACGTGAAAGAGTTTGAGCTGCTATTGAGCAGACCACAGTATCCAACATAAACGCCGCGCTTCCGCCATTCTGCTGTAACCTCGCCAATGTTTAGCTGCATTTTCAGGGAATCCCCGTCACTCGTATACATACAGGGTATTTCGGGGAAGGTGAGCAGTGTGCACGCTACGAATCTCTCATCAATCTCTCTCATCTTTCATGCTACGAAAGCTGTTCAGTATCATTCTCAGTGCGATCCAACTCCGCCATCCTGGTTTAATCCTTTGTCAGCTGTTCCCATCCACAACCAAGCAAAGTGCTCATGACCCTAACATAGACAGATGTGTCTTCCTACCACTATGCCAGTCTCACGGGGCTGGTGACCCCACGATTTCACCGTTAATGGATTGCAACCGGACAGCCGTAGCCGTTGTGGAAGCTCACTTTTGCTACTGGTTAATAAGTGCGATGCAATTTTTGTGAGAAAACGCAAGTCCCATAGCTGCAGAATGCTCACAAATAATTGTAAATCGTCCATACCATCGTGCCACGCACAGTTCACGTGCCAGAAGCACCTGAGAACTATCACGGCGCCCGGTGTCGTCACCATGACGTCACTCACCGGTGGTGGTGGTAGTCGGCAGCACGCTGGGCGGCGGGGACATGCAGCTGTGTCGTCACCATGACGTCACTCACTGGTGATGGTGGTCGTCGACAGCACGCTGGGCGGCGGGGACATGCGGCTGTGTCGTCACCATGACGTCACTCACCGGTGATGGTGGTGGTCGGCAGCACGCTGGGCGGCGCGGACATGCGGCTGTGTCGTCACCATGACGTCACTCACCGGTGGTGGTGGTGGTCGGCAGCACGCTGGGCGGCGGGAACATGGGGCTGAGGCGCTGCCGCCAGAACCTGATCCGCACCTGCGACCCGGCCTGGCCCGTGCTCTCGGACCGAGTCAAGTGTTCCGCCTATACCTGGATCGTGAAATACTCCGAGCCGGTGAGTGAGAGCACTGTTAGGCGGGTTCGGATTCGTTGTGTCATGTGTTGCCAGTGCCTTCCTCGTCGTGATTCTAATATTTCTAAGATTTGTTATCAAATGAGCCATTTTTGAGCCAGTAAGTTATTGTATAGTGCGACATGCTATACCAGTTAGAGCTGCCACTGAAAGCCGTGCCCTGTGGTTCACAGTTCGACATAGTAGCATGTAGTATAGTTATACCTACTCTGTGTGTGAAACACGCTCTCTCTTGATGGTCATCGAACTCACGTGTCGCTGTCCCTGGAACAGACTGTTGTTCGCTTGCCCTTGAGATGGAGACAGCAGTCCAACCAATGAAATTTTGTAGCGTTTTTAGCACTGATCACTAGAGATTCGCGGACGCACCGGGAGCAAAGCCTGAGGACATCATAGGAGTGTGCAGATTATTGTATGCATGGTATGTATGGTATGTACGAGAATAGAACACGCGAATAGAGAACAGAATAGAGAATAACGAACGAGAATAGAGAATAGAATATCCAATCAAGCTTCCCACGGGAACCGTCCTTGGACTAGGCGAGTCCGCCCTAATATGAGAGCTGGAATTCTTTAGAAAATGATAAAGATGCAGCTTGCAGGCATGCGAAATTGCGTTTGTAAGTGGCAGCAGGCTTGCGAACCTGTATACCGTTCTAGTCGCCCCACGCTCCGAGAAGTATGGACGCCCTATCTCCCGAAATAATTGCAATTGATGCGGACGGGAAGCTACCTGATCAGAATTTGTTACTGCAGCAGTGTATGACGAAACTGAAATGCAATTAAGGCCTAGGCTCCACTTGACGTGATTTCAAGACCCCTTCATTCCTTACAACTCCACGGTAGCCGTGTTTTTTTTAGGTGCCTGGCTTTTTACCGCTTTGTCTGCGTTATTTTGTTGCAAAATGTGCCATGAATTTAAAGACTGGCATACTCTAGAGCAGATTAGTACGACGTCTATAAAGGAGCAGAAGAAATCCAAAAGGTTGTCTTGCGTGTCCTAAAGTCAAGCGTTTTTAAGGGTTTTTGATGTATGTAAATAAACACGTATATAACCAGATCGAGTCAAATCGGCTCGAACTTGCTTCGAGCCCCGGCGTAAAGAGTGTTCTGACCGCCGTGAGGCAGGGTTGTTGGAAACTTGCCATGCGTGCTAATTAAGGCCAGCTGCAAAGAACAGTGACTGAATATTTGAATTCTGAAAAGCCAGCGAAAAAGGAACGTTTAACGATGGGTTCCAAGGGCGGCGATGCTGCACTTTTTTTTGTTTGGGCTATTGCACCATATTTTTAAAAAAAGAAAATTAAACTCATGAACTAGTGTTTGACTATGTGAACTGCGGCGACACTTGCTTTGCCCGCTATGCAGACAACAGCATAGAATATTATTTTACATTTGGCGAGATTGGCATTTGACACGTGGCTTGCAAAGGTGGGAACCTTGTCTTCATCTGACGGTCCAGCTGCTCTGCAGTCGTCTCATGACCACTTCACATGAGTTGTAGTATTTCCCGGATCAACACCGGAATCCTTCCGCCGTTGCGTTATTGCCGCGCCCAGCATGCTGTGGCGCCACGCTGTTGTGTTCGCCTGCGCCTCGGCAACAGCACCAGCATCTGCCGTCGTTGACCCATGAACCCAGTCTCGCAGGCTACCCAAGCTATTTTTCGCACATTTAAATATCCCTGTAAGCAACAAAACACATCACAAGCCAGCGTATGAATTCAAAACGCAATCCCGCCCGCAAGCAAGTCACTGCTCTGTGTTGCAAAATTGCCCGTTCCTTCTAATGTCGCCCTGGTAATGAACTGTCACATGACTCTTGCAAGCTACCCTCGGTTGACCCGTCCGGAATGCACTGCCGCGAACGCGTTCACTGAACATCGCTCTATAACTCAGTCGCCACGAATTAGTGCAACAGCTGGTGCGCCTGACGTGCGACCGGCCCACGCAAAAGCTCGAACATCTCGCACACTGGCGCGTGTGGGCCACGTGCTGCACATCGTGCGGTGACAAATTTCCTCGCTTCCATCAACCACCAACCTTGGGCTTAACCATCATTAACCGCTTGTCTGAGCGAATCCGGTACTTTTCCATTATGTGAGCGTCTCTACCAGCTCGGAGCCCCGACGGCTGCTCGTGGCGCACCGACCGATCTGACACCTCCTGCCCACCCCCCCCCCCCCCTCCCCCGCAGCCGCGGTCAGACCGCAAAGGTCGCTGTCTGCTTCATGACGGACATGTCGTGGCGGGATGGCTCGTGGTGGCTGTCGCCATTTGTGAAAGATCGGAACAGCGCACTGTACACATTGGTATACAAGTGCGCAAACACTCAGTCAGACGGAGTACGGCATACTTTGGTATCCAAATGCTCAGGCCAACGAAGCTGGACCTGCGTTGTCACGCTACTATGTCAGAAAGGCTGTATTTGATGCGAAGCATTCCTACTTCCTCTTACTCTTACTAGGCACTCTTAAACTCTTAGAAGTAGTACGAAGAAGAGGGCGCCGGCTAGACCGTCTTTCCGAAACGCTCACACGTGCCGCCGCCCCGCCGCAGGCAGCCAACGACAAACCAGTGCGGTACAAGAACCCGCACTGTGCCCTCTGCAACCACCGCAACACCAGCGAGTGCAACGTGCAGCCGTTCACCACTACGCCACCGCGGCCCGTCCGTTACGCCGTCTCCGCCGCCGTGCTCTTCGACTTCTACGGCGAGCAAGTCGGCGTGGAGCGCGCTTGTGGGTGAGCACGGCTGCAGGGGGAAGCGGCATGATCCTCTGCCAGTACACCGGGAGGGTGATGGGTGGGTGAGCACGGCTGCAGGGGGAAGCGGCATGGTCCTCTGCCAGTACACCGGGAGGGTGATGGGTGGGTGAGCACGGCTACAGGGCGGGGAGGCGGCACGGTCTGCTGCCAACACACCAGGAGGTTGAGGGGTGGGTGAGCACGGCTGCGGGGAGGGTGGAGAGAGCACGGTCCGCTGCCAACACACCAGGAGAGTGAGGGACGGGTGAGCGCGGCTGCAGGGGAAAGCGGCATGGTCCGCTGCCAGTACACCGGGAGGGTGAGGGACGGGTGAGCATGGCTGCGGGGCTGCGGTACGGTCCGCTGTCACCAGGAAGGTGAGGGCCCTGCGGCAAGCTAGACCAGCTTATAGGCGGAAGGAATTGGCTTGGTAAGCCGACCGACCCCTGCTGGCATGTCAGCGGATGAGCCAGGGCGCGATAGATGACCAGCAGGCTGGTTGGTCGTGAAGATAGAGAAGAAAGGCATATGTTAGAAATCATGTCATCACCCTGTTCAGAGATTGTTCAAAAGGCAGTCAAGGACAATCGTCAGGGTATATGAGACATGCAGGCAGGGGATATGGCAAAGTTCATGCGATCAAAACTAAACATTTGCACGCGATATAGCATAGACAAGCAGCAACAGCAAAGGCACCTCGACCAGAGAAAAGAAGCTGATCATTGCTGAAACCTTACGCTGGCTGTAAAATCACTCCTACGCCCCGTGCTGGTCCCTTTTTCAGGAAGATCATTCCAGACAGTAGCGGCTCGGTGCTGCAGAGGGCGTTTGGCCGCCTTCGCTCTCACTGCTGGCAAGCCCAGTGCGCTGTGTTTAGCTCTGATCTGTCTCTGGCTCGCCTCTGATCTCGGTGTAAAGAGGGTGCGCAGAGACAGCGGGGCGTGATATGAGAACATCATCGCTGTTGCTGGACTTTGGATCGCTTTAGATAAGAATAGCCAATTACCCAAACAGAACTGGTGGATAGTAGGGGAAGGACGCAAAGACTGTTGCATAGGTAACTGATGCATTCAATTCCACCCTGAAGGCACTGCTTGTACGTGGCGGCAGATATGACGCCACTGGCCCACAGCCGTTTGTCGTATGCTCCCCATCCCAGACGCGATATGGGACAGGCCTATTCAGTCACTGCTTCTCAGTGTAGATCTGACGTCACTGGCTCACAGCTGTTTGTAGTGTGCTCCCTAGTGCAGTCGTTGCTTCCCAGTGCAGATCTGACGTCACTGGCTCACAGCCGCTTGTGGCGTGCTCCCCAGCCCAGACGAGATATGGGACAGCCTGTTTAGCCGCTGCATCCCAGTGCAAATCTGACGCCACTGGCTCACAGCCGCTTGTGGCGTGCTCCTCAGCCCAGACGAGATATGGGACAGCCTGTTAGCCGCCGCATCCCA